TGACCTCAAAAATAGCCTTGGGAGATGCTTTAAAAGACTGGTAGTGTAGGTCTTCACCTCACTTCCTGTCTACCAACTCAGAACCATGTTGCCTCCACTCCTGCCATCATTTCTATCTCATCGCTGAACTCCAGCCCTGAAACCTCATCGTGAGCTCTGACAGATCAGCTTTTCCCTTATCTTGCTCAGAGCCAGGCCCCCATCTTACTTTCTGACCATTAGCTCCAAACTATACCAATATCATATCCTCTTCACCCCTTTCTACTCCTGCTTTATTTGTTGTCTTCCTGCATTAGAATGTAGGCTCCTTGAGGGCAGCAGCTATATTGCTTGCTTGTATTTGCATCTCTAGAGATTAGTACCCTGCCGGTTACATAGTAAGCTCTTAAATACTTGCTCACTCACTCATTCACTCACTATGTCTATATTTGTCTAGGCAACAACACACCCTGCAAATCCTTGCTCTGTAGATAAAGACTTTCAGTGTCTATGATTGCCAATGTGACACCTTTCAGCAAAACAATGGTGGGCCTTAAGAAATAGGAAAAAATGAGGAAGTAATCAGTAATGTATCCTTAAACATTATTACAAGTAAAGAGAAAAAACATTTGGCTGCCATTTCTTTTAAAGATTCTTATAATAGATGTTCTCTCTCTCTCCTCCCTCTCCCTCCTTCACCAAGTCCAAAGAATGTAAGATTTTCCTTGATTTGCAATGAATCTAATTCCTATTCACCACTGAGCCCTAGCACATAGCTCTTGTATTTATTCACTGCAATGCCAATGAAGGGGAGGGGGCTTAAAGATGAGAAGGCCTCAGAGTAGAACAGTGCAGTCAGATATTGTCATGCATCACTCACATTTATGAACCAAAGGTTCCATCATTTCCAAAGGAGTTAGTAATCTACCTGAAAATGAAGAGCTAGTCAGATAGCATCAGGATTCTTTTCTAGCTTTGCAGATAATTTTAAGTGGAAATGACAATATGACAACTGTAGAAATTATGCCTTATGCCTTCAAATATGAGTTCAGTTTCAGCTCTAGGAAGGGAGAGAAAAGAACTGAATGCAATTCCTTGAATCTGACACCTTTGGATTATCAGAGTAGAAACATAATGGAATAAGAAGCTTCATGATGTAGCAGAGGGCTGACCTTGGAGACGGGCAGATTAAGATCCAGGTCCTGCCTTTTATAGTCGGGGTGGGGGGTGTTCAGCCTTATGAAAATTACTTCATTTCTCAAGGACTCAGTCTTCTGATTTGTAAAATGGGGGAGCTACAGCTAGATGATTTCTGAGGTCCCTTCCTACTCTAAAATAATGGTCCTGTGACTACAGGGTACAGAAAATTTGCCAATCTGAACTGGGAGAGGACCCTACATGGATAAAAGTCACAAGTCCTGACTAAGAAAAAACAAAAATTAAGTAACAGAAGGAACACTGTAGTGCTTCTTGTCTAGAAAGGGAATTGCTTCACAGTACATAGAAATCTTTGTCCAGTAATTCCTTTCTGTGTACCCAGCTGTCTGGCAGCTTTGCAATATTTGGGAAATAGGAAGTCATCCCTATAGGAGGCAAGGATCCCTCTATGTCAGCAAACTCTCCTTTCCTCAGTTTAACCTAAAAACTATTCATTTGTGGCTTCATTCTCATCAACTGAAATCTGGTTCTGTTCTTTGTCCTTTTCAGAAAAATTTGTTCATTTTCAGTGGGACACAATTTCCAGAACAACCATTCTGTAACTGAAAATTTTAAATGGCTATAGATTTAGGAGCTCATACTAGGTCAGACCAACGTTCCCAATTATGCCAGTACTGGGCCTCTTTATATATACATATATATGTGTGTGTGTGTATATATGTGTATGTGTTTATGTATGTGTGTGTGTGTGTGTGTGTGTGTGTGTGTGTGTGTGTGTGTGTGTGTATATATGTTTTTTTTTTTTGGCAAAGAAATCAGGGTTAAGTAACTTGCCTAGAGTTACAGAGCTAGTGAGTGTTATGTGTCTGAGGCTACATTTGAACTCAGGTCCTCCTGACTCCAGGGCTGGTGCTCTATCCACTGTGCCACCTACTGGCCCCCAGGCCTCTTCTATCGTATCAGTGGGTGATTTGTGGGAGACCACCACATTGGTCTACCATACCAACCCCTAAAGTTAGATCTGTATTCTGAAATGCCAAATTTCCCTTAGTAAGCTGATAAGCTCTATTGATTAGCTTTGAATTTAGCTAAATATTCTTAAAGCTGTACCTATTTTTAGTCTGTACTATCTCTTTAGGCTAAAGAATTCCATGTGTTCTTAGTTGGTCTTTAGATTAATTAGGAGCAGGCATAAGCCAATCAATATGTGTGCTTTAATCATATTTAAAGGATTTCTGGAGGGCAAAGTCCTGAGTGGACATGTGTTGTATCAGTCTTGGCTCTGCATGTGCTGCTGTCTTCCTCTTTTCTGACAGTGACCAGAGGTAAATACCTTTACCTGTCTGGGCATCAATGTCCTCATGGGCTAGATAACCGAGAAGATGCCTTCTAACTCTAAGATCCCATGATCGACAGAAACCATCAAAAGTCTGGGCAAAGATATGGAAAAGTGAAGTAGGGATGTTTATGAAATGAACTGACTGGTGAAATAAGAAGACCTAAGGTACTGCATGTATACAAAACCAAAAATGAAAATAGTTTGGAGTTCTATTTCCCTCCTCTTTCTTGGGGAGAAAATGGGAAGATGTCCTATGCAGTGAGCAAGCCAGTTCCGGCTACTTACTGTTCCCCACATACATAACATTCTTTTTTTCTGCCTTTTGTGAGGCATGTTAGGTGGCACAGTGGATAGACCCCTGGGCCTGGAGTCAGGAAGACCTGAGTTCAAATCCAGCCTCAGACATTTAACTATCTGTGTGACCCTGGGCAAATCACTTAACCTCTGCCTGCCTCAATTTCCTCAACTGTAAAATGAGGTTAATAATAGTACCTACTCTACAGGGTTGGTATGAAGATCAAATGTGATAATATCTCTAAAGTGCTTTGGCATACAATAGGCCCTTAATAAATGCTTGTTCCCATCCCTTTCTCTTCTCCACATATCTGCATAATCATCCTTGTGCCTACAATGCTTCCCCTCCTGAACTCTACTTTTAGGAATCTCTAGTCCATCCAAGGATCAGCTTACATGGCACTTCCTCTCTGAGGCTCTTCCTGATTCTTCCAAATGTTAGCATTCCCACTTTTAAATTATCTTATATTTATTTTGTATATATTTTGTAATTGGCTTATCTTATGTACATGTTGTTTCTCTCAGTAGAATGTAAGCTCCTTGAGGTCAGAGACTGTTTCTCATTTTTATCTTTGTATACTCAATGAAATGCTTAGCACATAATAGATACTTGATGAAAGCTTGAATTAAATTAAATTGAGACTTTAAAACTCTAGGACAGAGAAAGCAATGAGGTTCCTTTGGGCAAGCTAGCTCACTAAGAAGATCTTTTGAGGGCTGAAGAGGAGATGTAGAACATAAATTAGGTTGTGTTGAATATTCTTGTACTTGTCCTGAAAATACCTTCCTTCAAGTTTTAAAGTATATCTTCAGTTCAAAACTGATGTTATTTAGTCAACTAAAGAAACTGAATCTTTTAAATCTAATCCTCAGGCTAATTTCCTTTTCAAGAATAACTGCAATTAAAACAACTCTGAGATACCACCTCACACCCATCAGATTAGCTAATATGAAAGAAAAGAAAAATGACAAATGTTGGAGGAGATGTGGAAAAATTAGGACACTAATGCACTGTTGGTGGGGTTGTGAACTGATCTAACTATTCTGCAGAGCAACTTGGAATTATGCCCAAAGGACTATAAACTGTATACCCTCTGACTCAGAAATACCACGATTAGGTCCATATTCTAAAGAGATCAGAGGAAAAGGAAAAGGACCTATATGCACAAAAATATTTATAGCAGCTCTTTTTGTGCAATTGGAAATTGAGGGGATGCTCATCAATTAGGGAATGGCTGCACAAGCTGCGGTATATGATTGTCATTTAATACTACTGTGCTATAAGGAATGATGAACAGGATGCTTTTCGGAAAACCTGGGAAGACTTACGTGAACTGATGCAAAGTCAAGTGAGTAGAAGCTCTAGAGGATCTTCCTCTCCAAGACGGATACCTTTGTGATGGTAAATTGGTCCATCTCTCATCTCAGTTCTTACCTAGTGCTTAGTCATTGACTGAGCTTGGCCTCAGACAGAAGGAGATCTGGGGAAGACCTTAATTTAGAAAGGCTAAGGTTACCCACTGTATCGTGGGACATTCACAGTCATCTTTACCTTTGTCTTGCCACTGGATTTCAATGGCTCTGGAAGAGAAAGTGAGGCCTCATCACTCATGCAGCTCTGCCTCACTTAAATCCAATCTAATCTAGTCAAGACATCACCCTTGTGATCTCACTGATCCTCATCAAAGACAAAGGATAACCACCACCAACAATAAGGTTGGATGGCTACTGAGGCCCGGCCCTTCTTCCAACTCTCAAACACTATGATTCTCTAGAGTCAGGAATGCATGGATTCAAGTCCTACTTCTGACAAATAAGATCTTTTTGACTGTGGACAAATCACTTAATCTCTCAGTACCCAAGGCAACTTGCTAAGACTAGAAGGTATAGGTGAACTACTGATTTGCATTGATAGAGGGAGTTTCCCTACCTTAAAATCCCAGGTCTGAAGCAAAAATTCAACACCACACACACACACCCATACACCCATACCCATCCATCTTCAAGGCTTGAAGAGAGGGAAGGATAGAGGAAGAGAGGTATCAATAACCAAAAAGAAGTGATCACAAATTTAAAACTATTTAATACAAGGAAGAGTGAAATTGAAAAAAGATACTAAATCAGGAATATTATGAAAGGGAGAAAAACAATTACAGTAAAAACTCTAAAGAATTACAATAGATGTTCCATAAGATGAGTCTTCTAAAAGTAAAAGGCAAAAATGGCTTACCCTACAGTTGAGCAGCGTGTAGAGGACATGGTCAGGAGTGGTCTGAGCTCTCCACTGCAAAACCTCAGAGAGAAACAGGAACTACAATACAGCAAAACACAATTATTAGGCTCAGGCTATTGGAATCGGGGCCTTTTGCTCTCCTTTCCAGCAACAGAATAAGGCAATTCTGACTGGAAAGCTTTCAGGCTCACTACCAGTTGCCATTTTCCCCAGTCCAAACGTTATAGGAAATGCAGCACAAATCCTCTGCAAACATAACCAAGAATAAGCAGTTTGGTTACAATTTTGAGCCTAACATATTTCAACGTTTCTTACCTATGACTTGTTGGCCCACAGACCAAAGCCCCCGGTAGATGTGCAAACCCCAAATCTGTACAATGGCAGAAGAACTCAGATCCCATACATAAAGGATAAATGAGTATTTTTGTCCCTTGCAAGGCTTCAGAAGGTACCCAGAGCTCCTCTCTATTTGGATTTTTTTTAAAAAGATGAAATTTCTACACTGTCTACTAAGCAGACTATCTTTAGGTGTGATTTCTTTGTGGCAAAAGAAAGCACGGCAGTTTCACAATTACATACATGGCACTGGGTCACTTTCTGTGATCATTATAATGCTGGTATTTCAATGGTCTGTCCAGCATCGTGTGTGGTGTGTGTGTGTGTGTGTGTGTGTGTGTGTAGAAAGAGACACACACACAATGTCAGATGCATACACAGAGAGAGAAACAGAGAAAGTCAGAGAAAGACACATACAGAGTGGGACACACACACGGACACATACACGCACACACACACACACCATGTGGGAGAAGTGGAAAGTGATGTAACCCATAGCAAAACAATCTCACAGCCTAGTGATAGACATCTGGTCACTTTTGTCAAAATGGCAGCTGTAGCTATGTGGTGATTTTGCTGTGTCCAATTAACTATATATTTAAACCAAAATTCCTTCTCAGCTAGGAGGCCTATCTGATACAATTAAATGTTTAACACTACTTTAGGTCTTTAAGTCTGAGAATAACAGAGAAATTTCTAACCTTATGTGTGGGGGAGGATGATACTCAGGGTAAAGTAATTTTAAAAGAACAGGAGTTTTTAGTTTCTAGGCATTCACCCTCACCTGCCCTTAAGGCCATGAACTACTCTGAGGAAACTTGGCTCTCACACCTGGGTTTCTGAGTTGTTTTTTTCCTCACAATCTGAAGCAACAAGAGCTTCGGTGAAGAGGGGTCAGAAGCAGTTTCCCCAGGGAGCCACAGCGGTGAGAATTGGGGAACAGAAGGAACAGGGAAAGCTGGAACACCAGGTAGCTTAAAGAATGTGGAGTGAAGCCAGGTAATGATTTCTAAGAACTCCTTCCTACTTCCCCTCAATTACCAAGTTAAAGAGCTAAATACTAGCACCAAGGCCACCCCTTTTCCATATCATTCAATGGTTCTGACCACATGCCCACTGTCTCTCTTTAAAAAGTGTCCACCTGTCCACAAACCCAATAAAATAGTGTCTCTATTTCACAGACGAGACTGAGTATAGAGTACAGGCACTGTCAGAGACCTTCAAAATACAGAATGACCCCCAAGTCTGCAAAGGGCTATATTAGCCCTATATTAGCTTCCCATCTACAGAAGTTGCATTCCAAACACTCCCAAGGCTTACCTTTCGGGCCTGATCATTGTCTTCTATCTGCCCCAGGTCTCTGCCACTAGCTTGAGCAATCCTTTTCCCAGATACGAGGTTCCCCACCATCACGGAGGCAGGGCCAATTTCTAGTGAGAGATAGCAGAAAATGAGTAAGGAAAATTACAAGGTTCCACTTTTAAATTAATATTGTTCCCCCTTGGGCAAGAGAGCCAGTTGCCTGACTAACTTAACTGAGAGACAAATCTGGCTGTTACAGTATTTTAAAAGAAACACATGAATTATTGTGAGAGCAAATATGTTAATTCTTTAATATCTTGGGTTGAATCATCACAACAAAAAGTTTTATTTTGAAAACTAATTCAAATATAAGCTATTAGCAAATCAATCAATCTCTCTCTCTCTCTCTCTCTCTCTCTCTCTCTCTCTCTCTCTCTCACACACACACACACACACACACACACCCCACCACCACCACATTCCAAAGCCAAATGAGAAATGACATTTTGGATTACCTCTGTCACTGTTCTCCCCTCCATTATTACACATAATGGAGAGTTCCCTATATGTGAAATATCACATTTTGCCAAATCTTTTGAGTTAGGTTCCAGGAATGAGATTGTTGGGACAAGAGGAGGAGGAATCACTTGACTATCCATTTTACTGACTGAAGAAATTTCAAGTACTGTCATCAAATCTTTGAAAACAAAATATGTTTTGAAATAAAAGATGCTGCAAAATCAATGCCCTTTTTTTATGCCACTGTTACTCATGGAAATCTTGGAATTTAGGGTTGGAAGGGCACTTAGAGATTAGCTGCTCCAATTCCCTTATTTCGCAGATAAGGAAACTGAGGTCTAAAGCAATAAAATGTTTTACTCAAGATTACGCACAAAACACACAGAAGAGAGAGGATGAGAATTCTCAATTCAGTGTCCTGTTACACCTAGACTCTGCTTCTTTTTTCTGGTTTAAGAACACATCATTGAAGTGTAACACAGATATTTTGAAAGAAAGCAGGGTATAGTAGATAAGCCACTGATCTGAATCACCGTGTTCAAATCCTGCAACAGATAACTTATTAACTACATGGCCCTGCACAAGACACTAAACCACTGGGCGTCTAGATCCTCATCTATAAAATGAAGAGGTTAGATTTTGTGGTCTGTAAGCCATTCCAGCCCTGAATCTGTGTTCCAATGATTCTGCAATGTATGGTAAGCATGTCTTTAAAAAATGAAAATAATTGCCTACAATTTATGAACTACAGAACCCTTCTTTAGAATTTCTAATGACTCCTTGGACCTCTAGGGACCTAATCTACAGACCTCGAAATATCACCATCGGCAGACACCGTGTCTGCATTTTTTTTTAACAGAATGACTCTGAGGCACCAACATAGTTATGTTAAGGAGACAGAACTACTAGTTTGTTCAAGCTCATTTTGAACTTTAAGGGAGAACATCTCATTGGGTTTTTAAAATACCTAGGCCAAAGCGAATCATAGTGTTTGGCAGTGGTGGGTGGTGTGTCTTCAGGCTAGAATTACATATTCATCATAATAAGATTCTGCTTGTTTGTTCTTGGAAATACAAACTAAAATCCTCTGTTCAGATTGTCTTATGTTTGTGAAAAGAATCATATAATCAGGTAAGACATTCATAAGTGCACATGCATTCATACACATACATATATACATACTTACTGATATATATACTCTGATTACAGTCCTAACATCTCTGTGGAATGGAATTTGCCTGAGTTCACTAAGGCTTACAACCATGACAGTGTTGGATCTACTAGCATAGGCCAAGTAGAAATGTAGCGTATAATATACACCAAGCTGGAAATGCTTTGACCATGTACCTGGTAAAAGATTATGCATAAAGAACTACAAATAAGGACCACTGTAGCCAAATTCTGAGAGGATTATCATGAGGAGGTTGGCCATCAGATGATATTTTTTTTTGGGGGGGAGGGTTACAACAACAACAACAAAACCATTTATAATAGTGCTCACCATGTGCAAGGTATTGCGCCAAGTGCTTTATGATGATTATTTCACATGGTCTACACAACCCTAGGAGGTAGGTACTATTATTATCCCCATTTTACAGATGAGGAAACTGAGGCAGGCAGAGATTAAATGACTTGCCCAGGGTCATATAACTAGAGTGTTTGAATCCAAATTTGAACTCATGTCTTCCTAACTCCAGGCTCAGTGCTATATCCATTGTGCCACCTAGCTGCCTGGGGCTCATACAGATACATCTAATAAGATGTACAGGAGATGTATCTGATTGCCATCAGTGAAAGGAATGCCCAAGTTGATAAGCATTCAGATGGACCTATGTGTATACACTTTGCGTATATGTATACATACAAGTATACATACATGCATACACATGTTCAAATGAATATACGCATGGATAGGGGCTGGACCTGTATTCACTGGTACAGGGAAATCTCCATAAAGAAGGTTTTCTACCAGCATAGATTTGTTCTATGACTTACAGTTCTAGAGAACTGCCTAGAGCTAAGAGAGGTTAAGTGATGTGTCACAGGTCACACAGTCAGGACTTGAACCCAGGTCTTTTTGGCTCCAAGGCCAGGTCATTCTATGACATTTTGTCTGTGCTTGTGTGCATGTGTCTATACACACACACACACTCTTAGGAAGGAAGGAAAGCAGAAAGGAAAGAAGGAAGAAAGCATTTATTAAGTATGCCAGGCACTAAGTGCTTTACAAATATTATCTCATGTTATATTTACAACAACCTGAGGAGACAGGTGCTATTATTATCCCCATTTTGCAGTTGAGGAAACAGAGGAAAACTAAGGATAGATGGATGAATACATATTTACACATAAACACACATGCTTGAGAGGCAGCCAGGTATAATGTTCTGCGACTCTGAGCAGCTCACAATTTTTCAGCGCCCCAAGAGACTCTGTAAGTTGTACAAAAGCTGCTGATATGCATTAGTAGGGGGAGTTCCCTACACTGATGAACTCAGGACTGAACCAAAATATCAGCGTAAACCAGTATACTCATACACACAGACACATGGATGTACAGACACAAACACACATGCTATACACAATACAGGGATAACTTTGTCCAGAGGATGGGAGGTAGAGCAGGGAAAGGCTTGGTTAGTGAACCTGTACTTCAGTACAACCACCACTCTCGAGTTTTACTGGTTGGTTTGTGAGGTTGCAGAGAAATAAAATACAAGGTATTGGCTCTAGAGTAGATGGTCACTCAATAGTTGCTGGTCACCTAAAAAAGGCCAGCTTGTTTGATTTTTTTTTTTCTGAAGCTAACTCACACTAAATGTCAGTCCCAGCCTAGGGGATCACACCTGGCTCTGGTATGGAGCCACTCAAAGCCAAGAAAAAAGGTTATTCTAATGAAGGTGGGGAATGAGAATTCAGGGTTACCCAACCACAGAATTTCAGAGTTGGAAATGCTTGAAAAAGACTCCTACTTGAAAAAGAATTGATTCGAAAAAGAATTGATTCTCTTCCACACCCAACAAATGGCCATTTAGTATCTGATGAAGACCTTCAGTGAGAGGGGAGCCACAAGCCCATTCTATAGTTGGCTAGCTCTAATTGTTCCGACTTTGCAAGGTCCCCCTGACCGCTTCCACTTCTGCCCTCTGAGGACAGGCAGAACAAAGCTAATCCCTTTTCCACATAACAGCCTTTCAAATGCTCCTAGCCAGCTATATTTCCCCCTGGGTCTCCTCTTCTTCAGGATAAACATCCTGGTTCCTTCAAATGATTTTCCTATGGCATTGATTCGAGGCCTTCAACCATCCCACTTGCCTTCTACTGGATGTCCTCCAGCTTATCAGCACCCAGAACTGAACACAATCCTCCAGATGACAGTAACCTTCACAGAGGGACTTCTGACTTATCATTCTGGGAGTCTGGTTTCAGGCAGTTTTTAAACTGGTGAGCGTGTGCGATAATCAAACTGTGCCTAATGTGTTTAGCAAAGCCTTTGTTGATTTTCATGTACTGTTGTGTGTGTCTGCAGTGGGGGAGGAGTAAGGATTAGCTTTTCCTTTGGTAAAATGATCATGCAGCAGAAGAATATTCTCCTCATCAACAAAATACAAAGGGAACTTGGTAGCATAACTGTGTGGCCAAAAAGAATGGAACTGCTGTACTACGTAGAGCATATCTGATTTAATTGCTTTTGCATGGACAATTAAATACCCTTGTAGTATGCATCCTTGCTTGTTAATTATTAGCTTTCTCTCATTAGTGTTTATTTGTTGGTGTCTTAAGTCACTGTGACTGAGGGCTAAGCAAGATGTTCCTTTTAACCAGATGTCTAGAAGTTGATTCCAATGTACATATGGATGCCAGGCTTTTTGAGGGACATCAGGTTTCCATGTATTTTTTGGAGGACCTTTAGAACTAGACTAGGCAGGTCCTCTCTTCCACTTATTTCTACTGACCTCAACTTTATGTAACTTTGGAGGCTTTAGGCTGCCTGCTCTTCACAGAGCCCTGAAAACTTATTTCTCCAGTCGTTGCTAGGAGACAGAAGATTTCCTAGTTACACCTCATTTATAAAATCTGTCCTTCCTGAGAACAGATGATTTTCCTCTCTACTTAAAGAGAGGAGAGTATGGAAGAAAAACTCTTGTAGTATATCACCCTTCTTCCAAACTGAATATATAAAATGGAGATGTAGCCCCAGAATGCAGGCATCTGTAGTTCCCATTTACACATTTATCAGCATCTATATCTCTAACTCTTACTGATCTCTCTACCTTACAGTGGCTGACAAATTCACATGGGGGCTTGGGCAGAGGCTTTATCTAGAAGAGATGCTGTAAGATAGATAATTCACATAACCACAAGAAACATTTCTTCCTTTTGAGGCACTGCTGCTGTCCATGGACTATGCTGCATACTGTCATAAGTGGCATCCTCCTCCAAGCTCTCTGATGAAATGCATCTCTGGGAATCTCAAAAATTCTGCCATTACTGCTTGTTTTATGGTATTTGCAGTCAGCCCCATTGGCAGTTTTACAGCCAATTAATGTCTTCTTTGTTATATATGTATTCAGATATATCTACTTGATTTTTTTTTCAAAATAATTATGCTCTAAAAGAATGATGATGTAACATGCTACCTATCTCCCGACAGAGAGTCAACGAACTTTACATGCAGAAAGAGATAATATTTGTTCATATATGGCCACTGTGGGAATTTGTTTTGCTGGACTACATGGCTACATATCAAGGGAATTGGTCTTCATTTTAAAAAATCTATCCAACAAAGGTATGCACAAGGGGGAGTAAAATAGATTAATAAAAACTTTTTAAAAAAATAAACCATAAACAATGAAAAGTTTTCAAAAATTAATTATGCAGTATTAGCAGGTGGAAGGGTGGTGCTCATCAGAGTTGCTACCAGTGATATATATGGGGAGAGGGGGATTGTTTTAATGTTGTATTACGGTGTTATTCATACAGGAGATGCTGAATAAACATTTTTATTGTGATGATAATTTGACTACTAGAGCTAGAAGGGAAATTTTGAAATCACCTAACCCAAACCACTCATCTGACATATGAGGAAACTGAGGTTAGAGAAATAAAGTGCTTTCCATAAGATCACACATCATTACCATCATCATTAATATTTATATAATGGTCACTCAGTGCCAGGTTCTGTGCTGTGTGCTTTGCAAATATTAACTCATTTGATCCTCACAACAATCCTAGGAAGTAGGGTAGTGTTATCTCCATTTTTCATATGGGAAAACTGAGGCAAACAGGGATTTAATGACTTGCCCAACATAACAAATCTAGTCAGTCTCTGAGATTGGATTCAAACTCAAGTCTTCCTGACTCTAGACCTTTTATCCACTTCATCACTTGACTACATATTTATTAAGTGACAGAGTTGGGACTTGAACCCCAGGTCTTCTGACTCCAAGAGTATATTCATGAAAAAAAAAAAAAACATTTTGAAGAGCAAAGTCTAAAGGGTTGGTCTAGATAGTCCTGAAAGACAAAACATACAAAAGGGGTACTGAATGTCTTCATTGCACCATCCGTTCAAGTCTCAGATTCTAGCAAAGTAGGCTGTGCTTCACATACCACAATATCTTTAGTTCTGCAGACTTGTTCAATCATTCAGATGGATGTCAATTTTTCTCTTTATATGATGTTTATAATGACCTGTGAGGCAGGAAAGGAATTCTCCTTGATCCATTACAAACTAATCGATCCCTCTTGTTATTGGAATGGCATCACATTCTGGGGCATGTCTCCAACACAGACCTTTTGACCAAATCTAACCAGCCCTTTTCTTCCTCTGCTCCCCTCTCAAGGATTCACTTCTCTTCCTTCACATCCAGAACCACTGATTGTCTGGGTCACTCACTCAAAGTCGGTAGTAACTAATTGGCTCTTAAATAGTGGAGTGGGCATTGAGCTGCAGAATGCAATCACATCATACTTTACACTAACAACCCTTGGTAAGTTCTGATCCTACTATAAATTTTAATGAGACAGAGACGGATGTGCCTGGATAAAGTAATTGTTGTTTTATGATTCCCAACATTATTTATGTTCTGAGATGATATGAGACACAAAAGGTGATTTTTTATCCTTTTAATATGTTCACAGAAGTGTGATGCATTGTGTTTCCTAATGTCTCCCCGAACAGAGCTGTTATACATGTGTTATTTAGAGAAATGGATATATCTCTGGGAACCACAAGCCTACAGTTTATGAGAGTAAGCAAACAAGCCAAGAATTGAGAAAAAACAAAAGAAGGTAAGATAAATTTTTGAACAATTTATGTTATGTTACCATCTAGGAAAGCCATTAGGAAATGGAAATTATTCAGAAAAGAAAGATAATAGTAATAAAAAGTATACTTTTTCTAAAAAAGTAGAAAATAAGTCTAACTGTCTGGGTCCCATTTTAAGAGACCTAGCCCATGTTAGTAAAGGACTGATAATCTTTCTGTATTTATGGATATATTTAAGATAATTCTTCACCAAAGGGTAACTCCAATGGCTCTCTGGAATGCAGGAATGATCCTGGGTTTTGGACCCTGGGAGAGTGTAAGCTTTGGCTGATATGATGATGATGAAAAGGCTTACAATACAGCAATGGATTGTCTACCTCTTTTTGAAGGAATGGCTTGGCCACATTTTCTAATTATCCGCATGAGGTGGTAAATTAATTCCTTCCTTCCTTCCTTTCTTTTTGTTTCTTTCTGTCATAACTTTTCTAATGAAAATGTAGAAGTGGACAGACACTGGCTGCAGAATCAGAAAAAGTTGGGTTCAAATTCTGTCTCTGACACATACTGGCTATGTGACCTTGGGCAAGTCCCTTGACCCCCATGGACCTCAGCTGTTTTCCATATATGTCAAATGTAGTAATTGATTAGATGACTTCTAAAGTTCCTTCCAGCTCTAGACCTACAATTCCATAAGCTGTAAAAAAGGAGGCAATTTGCATTCATAAAGAGAGTAATTTTAAATGGGAATTCCCTACACAAATGAAATAATGGATCTGGATTAAACAAACAACAAGTCTCAAAGACTGTCTAACAAGGCAGATGCGACCTAAATTGGTGGAGGAAACTCCTGACCTTTGAAATATTAAAGTAGTGAAGAAGTTGAAAATAAGATTCAAAAAGCCAACAGAAGACTGACATATGATGAGGTCACTGTTTTTCATATATATATATATATATATATATATATTATATATAATATATATATATGTGGTTGTGTGTGTGTGTGTGTGTGTGTGTGTGTGTGTGTGTGTGTGTGTGCGTGCATGTGTATATGTATATATATAATACATGCAATATGTATTATATATAAATATACACAAATAAAATAATATACATATATTATTTTATTTATATATATTTATATATTTTTTCAAAAATACTTTTACATACAATAATAGCCCAGAGAGTGGAGGGTTGTGAAGTGAAGAGAACATTAGACCTAGAATCTAAAGACCCAGGCTTAAGACTTTAGAGCTTGGTGATCTTGAACAAGTCTCAACTTTTCTGGGCCTTCCAATTCCCCCAAACAACCCCATGAAGTAAGAACAAAGAGTAGTATTCAATCCTATTTTACAGAAGAGATATCAAGATATAACAAAATTAAGTGACTTATTCCAAGATCCCACAGCTTCTTACATTAGAGTGAAGATTAGGATTGGGTCTCTTTACTGGGTTTAGTATACACTCCTTCGGGGATATACTGAAGCCAGCTCAGTTTAGTTCCCTCCTTCGTGAGGCCCCAGTGAATCAAAATATGTAATTAAGAAGTTAAAATGCAGTAGAGCCTTAAATGCACAAATTGTCCACCTGAGAAATAAATCCACTGCAGTTATTAAATATACCTGGTTGCTTCTGTCTAGGCTTTGGCAGGTTGGTAACACAAGTATGCGGACACATCAAGACATTGCAGGGATGGAGAGAACCTTCCAGAAAAAGTTGCTTGGTCTCCGATAAGTGTATTCCTCCCAGGGGTGTTTTGGGAAGAGTGTTCGCTGGAACCAGAGCTAAGCAGTAAACCCCAACTTGATGGATACTATCGATAGCCTAGAAAGATTCCAAAAGCAGTTCCATTATATTCAAGACCAGACATATTCACCAACTACAACAGTGGGCCAAGGAATGCCCAATACCAATGAGCAATACTAGTGAGGAGTCCCACATAAAAACACTAATAATTCAGAAACATGCATGGTCATTCTAACCCCTCAATGAGCTACGTTTTTTTGTTTTGTTTTGTTTTCACTTGGGGCTTTTGAAATATCAGTGATATTCCAGCATGAAGTGATGAAAGAGAATGAAACATTTAGGATGGCAGTAGTGAACTTTTACCTTTGGGCCTCACTGAAGTGAAAATCCTCAGGAATAGGGTTCTGCTAACCCCTATGATCTATTGTGATTAATCTGTTTGACCAGTTAACTGGAAACAGACTATCTGTTTCACATCTGATGCAATTTCTTTTCAGAAGTAATGAAAAAACCAGAACACTACGGTAAAGTGTGTGTGGGGGGGGGGTATGAACGTATGCCCGATAAGGGTCTGACAGTAACTTTAACAGCTGAATAAGATGCTGAGAAATAAGAAAAAAGAAAGAGAGTTTTGAGAGATGACAAAAGAATTACCTGCAGAACTCTGCTCATCCACTGAAAGCTGTCTTCCTCTGTGGAATCTGGCCTTTGCTCGGCAACAATGACGATCCTTTCATCATGAAGGACAGTCACTGAAAACACAGCTATTCTGTGGAAGGCAGGAAAGCAGGGCAATGGCTAAGAAGAATGCATTGTGGATAGATACCGTGAGGATTGTCACAGCTTCAAAATAGAACTTTTTATAACCACTATTAATTATACAGTTCAGAAGATCACAACTCCAACTAATACTTCTTCCAAAGGCAAATTGTAACTTCCGGCTCCCACATACTTATTAGTGTAAGAATAGCTTTGGGGGAGAAGGGGAGGAAAGCAAGGGTGAGAGAGAAGAGCCTGAGAGATGGGGTGAGAGCAAAAACAGCACTAGGTTTTAAAACGGGGCTTCAAGCCTTTGCCTTCATTAACCTTCAAGTTCCCATGACAAGTTTTTATGTTTTTTAATAAAGACACAAGATTTCAGCATGTAATTATGTAGGAGCTATAGAAAACAGCAGTGTAGGAGTCTACAGTGCAACACCGATGTCAGTGTTTCATCACCTGAGGTTGGACCCACAGGGCAGCTCTGTCTCAAGAACTCAGGAAATTTTGCTTTCAAAGTTGTGAACTCTGGCTTTGCCTTTAAGCAAGCCTACCTTTCTACAGGTAGGTGTTACAGAGGATAGAGAACTGCGCCTGGAGTCAGGAAGATCTGTGCTCAAATCCGACCTCAGACACTTACTAGGGTGTGACCCACTTAATCCCTATTTGTTTCAATTCTTTATCTGTAAAATGGGGACATACTGGAGGAGGAAATGGCAAACTACTCCAATATCTTTGCTAATTTATTCATGGGGTCATGAAGAGTTGGACACAACTGAATGACTGAACAACAACAACCTTCCCACGAGGTTATGACCATGGGATCATGGGCCATAAGAATTGGAAGGGACCTTAAATACCATGTAATCCAAACCTCTCTTTTTATCAATAAGGAAACTGTAGCCACGACAGAGAAAGTAAATCACTCAAAATCACCTTGTATGTTGGTCGTTAACACAGACTCAAAGCCAGATCTTTTGATTTCATATCACAGATTTCATAGTTTCTTTTGTGTAACCAGGATGGGAAGACAGTAAGGGATCTATTACCTTATTTTTGTGGTAGGCATGTCTTAGCCATTAACAGGTTTCTAAATAAGCTAAGGATTGCTCCAAAAAGCATTTTACAAGTTTAGTATGCTTCATCAGCAAGGATGGGGAAGACATGGTTAACAGTAGTCTGTGTGAAAGAGATTAGGGGTTTAGTGGATTGCAAGCTCAACATGAGTCAGCAACTAATATAACCTTGGACTGCATTAAAAGAGACCTGAGTTTAAATTCAGCTATAGACATTTACTAGCTATGTGATTTTGGGCAAGTCACGTAACCCCTGTTTGCCTCAGTTCCCTCAACTGAAAAATGGGCATAATAGTACCTACCTCTCAGTATTGTGATAATAATAATAATATTCACCTCCCAGTGTTTTGTTAGTATTGAATAAGATAATATTTGTAAAACACTTAGCATAGTAACTGGCATAAAAGAGGTAGCTAAGTCTTCCCTTCCTTCCTTCCTTTTGTCCTTCCTTCTTTTTGTCCTTCCTTACCTTCTTTCCCAACCTTCCTGCCTTCCTTTCTTACTGCACTTTCTTCCTTTCTTCCTTTCCTTCCTTAATGCAGAGCGTCACTTGCACTGCATCTTATTTGGGAGTTGCCTGGGAAAACTGAGAGGCATTGATGTGTTTAGACTGAGTATAGAAAGGGGCAAACAGCAGAGTGTTCAATGAAAGGCACTGAACATGACACAGGATGATACGCTGAAGAAACTGGGGATATGTAGAAGAAGAGTATGCTTAGAAGGACATGAGAGTTGTATTCAAGCACCTGAAGACGGAGTAGACACATTTTACCTAGACATGGGAGCAAAGAATAGAGGCTGAAAAGAGGAGAATTTAGGTTTGCTGTTCGGAAAAACCTTAACAATCAGAGCTGTCCCAAAGTGGAATGAGCAGCTTTGGGAGGTAGTGGATCTCCCCTTGATAGAAGTGCGCCAGCAGACGCCAGGTGATCATTTGTTCGGTGTATTTTACTAAGGATGTCTATCATGAATGGGTTAGAGAAGAGGGCTGGTGAGTTCTTGCCAAGTCTAGAATTATGTGAGGAGAGGAGGTGGAACAGTGAATGGAGCTAGCTTCTTCTAGGAGTTTCGCACAGAAAGAGAGTAGAGGATAGCTTGAGGGGCTGGCATGGACGATTCATTTTTTAAAGCACAGGGAGATTTGAGTGTGTTTTATGCAGAATATAAAGAGCCAGTGGATAAAGAGAGATTGCAGTTTGCCAAGAGAAGGGATGATCAAAGAAGCAAGATGATGGAGGAGAAAGGAAGGGATGTCATCAAAGTTGCAAGTAGAGTAGTTGACTTAGGCAAGAAGGATCACCTCTTCCTCTGAGACTATAGCAAAAGGAAGAAAGACTGGTATGAAAGGGAGGGGATTTTAGGCTTAGAATTGGGATAGAACTTGTAATGAACAGCCTAAATTCTATCAGTAATAACTAATCAGCAAATAAATCTTTGTCGAAAGAAGCAGAGAAGGGCAGGAGAGGTAGGTTGAAAAGAGAAGATTTGGAATAGACATGGTGATTTAGAGAGAGATAGGGAACCAGTGAGGGAAGAGTACAAGACGGCAAGGTGCAGTGAGGGCCTAGCTGATGTTAAATAAATCATGTTTCTGGTACCTTAACACTCACAATGGTTGTTAACTTTCTCTAGTGTTGCCAATAAGATGGTGGATGGTAGATGTTACCTAGAGTTGTGGTTTGGAAAGGGATTTTAGGGTAGGCAGTACCATCAAATTGAACTGATCAACTGTAGTGTCAAGATCACACAAGAAGGAAGATAAGGCCAGATAAAACATCATGAACTTTGTGGAAAGAATGGAAAATACAGTAAGGACACAGAATAGGTCCAGGTGCAGTAAAAGCATCTAGAGAAATGGAAGGATAGAAGACTACGGTAAGATAGAGGAGTTTCAGGGTTGGGTATTGTGGAAACGGTAATCTTCTGAACAATAAAGAAAGAAAGGGCATGACTGGTTATAGTGGAATGAAGCACAGGACATGGGGAATGAAGATGAACTGGGAAGTCAGAATGTTTTGGACACATCAACATACATATTTAAGTATAGGGCAGAGCCTGGGGTGGAGAGAAAGATTGTGAGCCAAGTATTGAACTTCCTTTCAGAAAGGAGGCAGAATGACCTGGGGCTTCGTAGATAACTGCTACCCATGTCTGGACAGGGTGATGTACCTGGATGAAGTGAATCTCAAAAGGGGAAGAAGTTGTTAAGTGATAACAGCATAAGAAAAATCTGAAAGTGGAAGGGAGAGGCAAAGGGTGTGCTTCGTCTTCCTGCCAGGCTGGTATGTTGATATAAAGGGTGGTAGGGAAGACTAAGGGGAGTAAGAAAAAAACTTCCTAGGGGCAGCCAGGTGGTGCAGTGGATAGAGCACCAGCCCTGAAGTCAGGAGGACCTGAGTTCAAATCTTGCCTCAACCAACACTGTGTGACCCTGGGCAAGTCACTTAACCCCAATTGCCCTAAAAAGAAAATAAAGCAAGAAAGAAAAAACTTCCTAGCAAGTAGAATTAACCAAAAGTGGAATCAGCTGCTTCAGGAAATGGACGTTTCTCTATCACTGATGGTGCTCTAGTAGAAGTTAGAAACCTACTCTGTTGTAGATAGAATAGAGAAGATAGCATTGGGCCAAGTGGCTCAGATTTCTGGCCAGTTCTGAGATTCAATTGTTCTAAAACTTCCCCAAGTACTTTCCTCACCTTTAAAATAGAGATCTTACTAAATAATATTACTAAAATAGAGATAATATTACTAATAAACTCTGCTGATCTCACAGAGTCGTTGTGAGGATAAAACGAGACGGGAGATGTGAAGGTCCTTTAATAAACTAAGCACTAGATGTATGCAAGACACTATTGTTATTCTGCGAAAGCACAGCTTAAATCTAACCGTGCCCAAGGAGGAGAAGGTTTTAATAAAGACTGCGGTGAACAACCAAGACGCATCACACTAACACTGTCATGTTTAAACTTTTCACCTTAAAAGATCTTTTGGTATATTCCCATATATTCCATGAGCCTCACAAAGTTTCCAAAGAATCAGAAAAATTTCCTTAGAGCCCTTAGAGACAAACCAGTACAATTGCCTCATTTTACAGATTAGAGGACTGAGGTCCAGCAAGGAGAAGCCCTAGTTTACCATTTTTCATCTTCACATCACAAAGGACTTGTCTGATCTGTATATTAAAAATGGAACTAGGTTAAGAAGGAAGTGTAACTCACCTTCCTCTGTAGACAAATTTCATTGGTTCTACCGCCAACGCTGTTGCTACAATGTCATCGGCATTGTGTCTTCGACCACTGACAACCATCAGGCCATCCATTTTACCCACTACAAAGACAAGTCCACCAGGACCAATAAATCCCAATAATCCTGTCCTTATAAATGGGTATTCACTTATTGGAGCCCCTGAACTTGTCATAGGAAACACCTATGGAAAAACACACAGAAGCTTCTCAGTACAACTTTCGTCTTCACGTTGTTAATTGTACTTACTATGCTTTATGCCCAGAGATCCTGGTAGGGTGGAATATTCTGGGCCCTGATAATCCCTGCTGCCAAGGAGGTCGGGGCTGGTGGATTGCTTGAATGCAGGAGTTCTGAGCTGCAGTGGCCTAAAGCTGACTGGCTGCGTTACTTCCAGAAGCAATATGGCAAGCTGCTGGGACGGAGGGGGCACCAGGCCGCCCAAGGAGTGAACTGGCTCAGCTTAAAAACAGAGCAGACCAAAGATTGTGTACAGGCTCAGACCAAGAGACTCCTGTACTTTCTGTTTGAAGGAGATAGGGAGAAGCAATCTCAAAAAAACAAACACAATCACAGAATGTTAGAGATGAAAGTTACTTTCCAAATCACCTCGTTGACATCAAACCTCACAATCAATGAAGGGTTCCCTTTCATAATATTCTTGACATATGGTTATCCAGTTTCTGATTGAAAACATAAGCACTGAACAGAATGTAAGCCTGCTATGGAATGTTCCCCTGTTGGTCCTTTCTTGAATCCTGGAATTTTAGAACTAGGAAGGACTAACCCTCATATTTTGTAAATGAGAAACTGAAGCCAAGAAAGGAAAAGTGGCTTCTAGGTATTGAATGGCAAATCTGTGGCTGAACTATAATTAGAGCTCATCTACCCTTAGGTTTTTAGTCTGTTAATAAAAATCCTTTAGATACACTTGGCAAGGAAACAAAATAGGGGAAACTAAAGTTCACCCAAAATAAGTAGGAGACATACTGCAGGTGTTGTTATACCCATTTTGCAGATGAGAAAACTGAGAATCATAAAAATTAAATGGCTTGCCCGGGGTCAAAAAGCTAGATAGCATCCATGGCATATTTTTCTTCACTTCCAGTTCAGAGCTCTTTCCCTCATATTACTTTGCCTTTTTAACTACATTACATGACTTAAAAAAGATGTTATTTATATCATTATTTTTATATGCCCTTCATTTTCCTCTATGTCCCTCCCGCTAGCTTCTGCCAGACAGCCATCCCTTGTAACAAATATTTTTTTAAGAGGAAGAGGAAAAAGTAGCTTCTCTTCAATCGATGCTACCTTTGTTTCCAATTCTTTGCTAAAACAAAAAAAGTGCTGCTAGAAATACACTGTTGTATGTAATACCTTTCTTTTTTGTCATGATAAAACTAGAAACCAAAAGGACTGGAGAACTGATAAAACTAAAAATCTTATTCTCTGAAAAGCCTCTTTTCTTCCATTTCTCCTATAATTTCATTTGTTCTTGATCTTCTAGTTACCTTATAATCCATATGACGGGTTCATTCAACTGCAGAGATTTTATTATGATTAGATAGCTTAATAATAATATTCACTCATAATTATTTATATAGCACTTTATGACCACTGGGGCAGCTAGGTGGTACAGTGGATAGAGTGCCAGGCCGGAAGTCAGGAAGACCCCTCTTCCTGAGTTCAAATTTGACCTCAGATACTTACTATGTGACGCTGAGCAAGTCACTTAACCTTGTTTGCCTCAGTTTCCTCATCTGTGAAATGATCTGGAGAAGGAAATGGCAAAGCACTCCAGTATCTTTGCCAAGAAAATCCTAAATAGGGTCATAAAGAGTTGAACACAACTGAAAAACAACTGAACAACAACAAATTATGATCACTGGGTACTTTATAAACCTAATCTGACCATCACAACAGCCCTGTGAAGGAGAGATATCCCTCATATTACTTATGATATAATAATATGTAATAATAATACATATTAATTACAGATGAGGAAACTGAGGCTCAGAAAGGCTAACTGACTGACTCAGGGTTCCAAGGTTGGCATTTCAAGTCTCATGACTACAAATGAAGCACTTTTCCTACTACTTCAATTCACTTTAATCTTCTTTTACTGCTATATAAGATACTTCCCTGTAAATCCCGTCCAGTAACTTCCCTGGACCAACTGACTAGATGAACTTCTTTAGAAGCTGGCCCTTTAAGTATCTCTGATATCTACCATAGCTTTCCTAAATATTTTTTTAAGGGATGAATATCTGGGAGGGAGAAGAAAAAGGGATACAATGAGAAATTCAAGTGATCTAAAAACAAAAAAGTCAACAAAATTTATTTAAAATTCATGGATATAAAAGTGAATATACATGTAAATTAGAACTCATGTTTTAGTTGTGAAAATATTTGATACCATTCATAAAGATGTTACTTTTCCTAATTACTTCCTACAATAAAAAAGAGAAATATAAGAGAAGTGAATGAAAGTATAAATGTATTTTCTTATCTAATGGATAAATGAATCATGTATGGAAGGACACAGAGTATATTTTTAAAGGCTGAATACAGGTCCAAAAAAATTATGAAGATTATAATTCCAAAAAATTGGCATAGCCAGGATAGTATCACAGGGAACTGTATGAAAAGGAGGGAAAATATAGGCCCTATTCTCACAGAGCTAATCCTCTAAGAGAAAGTGGGTGTTCACCTGTTAAACCATTACTGTTTAGATTCTGGGTACCTTTATTGCTCAATGAAACCAAGCTTTTTGTTTCCATCTTTATAAGTTCATCAAACAAATTACCTATCTTATAAATTCCTTAGTAAAATGCTAGGTGGTGCAGTGGTTAGAGTTCCGGGCCTGCAAGTAAGGAAGACCTGGGTTAAAATCCAGCCTCAGATACTTAATTAGCTGTGTGACTCTAGGCAAGTCACTAACTTCTCTTTGTCTCAGTTTCTTTATCTGTAAAAGGGGGTTAATAATTTCAAACCCATTAACTCAAATAGCACCAAAAACTCTCAGGGTTATTGTGTGAATAAAACTAGATCATATTTGCAAAGTGCTTTGTAAACCCTAAAGCACTATATAAATGCTAGCTTTTTTAAAAAATAGCATTACATTATGCTATGATGTTAGAGCCATGTATTGGTAAATGTGCTTTTCTGCCCATCCCATGATAAAATAGAGAAAAACACTGAGGTGCCATAAGATTACTGACCATTTAGCTAATGGGAAAAAATAGAGATTAGATGATCATTCATTTAACCAACAATTATGTACTAAGTATTTATTTATCCAAAGCCTGTATTAGGCACTGGAGGAAGAAATAAAGTCGAGATAAGACATTGGCTCTGTTACTTCAGGGAGTTTACAGTCTAGTAGAGGGGTAAAACATGGCCACTGACAGCAATAGTCCATACTGTTTACCCCAAGCTCATTCTACTTCAACACTAAGCTCCCCTTAATTCCCCTCTGCTCACTATCCCACAATACACATTTACTCAGATTCTGGATCATAATGTTTACACAACAATTCACATATGTTAGATGTTTCTATGTTCTGTTGGCTTATCCAAATTAAGTATTAGATAGAAAGCCCCTTTAGGGAAGAATCCTAGGAGCACAGGTTTAGAGCTAGAGAGGATCTCAGAGGTCACAATCCAAATCCCTCATTTTACAGAGCAAGAACTGAGGCCCAGAGATGTCATGGGACTTGGTCAGTGCCACACAAGTAGTAATTGACAGAGCCAGGATTTTAAACCCAGGTCCTCTGAGGTCCATGGTCTGTTGGACATTCATTCATTCATTCATTCTTTCATTCACTCAATACTTTTTTGGTACTTACTATGGGCCAGCAGTGTGCTACATGCTTTGGGGAATACAAAGATACATAACTGATATTTCCAGCCCTCAAAGAGCTTACAGTCTGGTTGCCATTTTGTATAGTACTTTCCAAAATGCCATATGAACACAAGCATATAAGCACCTTCTGACCAGCAGATTAATAAGTGTGAGAAAAAAAGCCCTCTGTTCTTGATACTAGCTACTAAATTGGAGTGAGGCAGAAAGTCTGCAGTTGTATAGAACTCCCTGAGTTCACTTTAACAAAAATGTCTATCAGTTTCCTTAAAGAAAAATCATAATTCTACCCTATTCAGCCACCATGTGAGATCTAAAAATAGATACTGTGAGGTGAAGATTCAAAAATGACCCCCAGGCAGGGTTGTTTGGTGACATTTCTATCCAGCCTACCTCAAAAGTGTTCTTGGTCATGCCTGAGAGGCCATAATATGATGTACCCGTAGCAATTGCACACACACAGAGTTCTCCAATCTCATCTGTTCTGCACAGCTGAGGAATTCCATCTGGCTTCACTGCACACATGATAGCTAAAAGTGAAACAAGAAAGTACAAAGGACATTACAAAAGAACGTGTACCCCAGAATGGAAAAGAGAGCCTGGCATAGAATCAACAGAATAACAAAGAGCCCAGCATTTGTTTCCCCAAGAAAGGAGCCATGATTTTGTATATTCCAGCAAAAAGTTGTGGCAGAGGTAAATAATTAAAATTTCTCCAATTTTAACATTGAAATTTATCTAAAACAAACAGCAACTTTCTTTCATGTGTGGGTAAGACTGAGGTATTTAGGATAAACCCAGGATATAAACATATATGGATTTGGTGTTGCTATGCCCTGTGCCCCAGTAAAATAAAATGCAACATGGCAGTCATTTGAAGGAGGACAGCCATATCCCTGGAAATAGCAAATGCATACAGGGACACCTGTCCCTTAAAAATCTTTTCAACACTAACAGCTAAAGCAACAAGCCACAACCATATGCAAGCTTCAAATGCCTAATGAAAATCTTTAAACTTTGATCTTAAATTTGTATTAAGTTTAGAGATGCAGCAAAGGTGTTAGCAGGCTGCTTTGTCAACATAAATTTTCTTTCACATGTGTAACTGTATCCAAAGAGAAGTCTAGGCTTCTATTTAATCACTCCACAGATAGAGTTCCCATGTTTTTCTTGCATGCTGCATCTTGATACATTCACTATGGTATCCATCTTGTCCAAATGCACAGTGCGACTAGGGACCACAAAGCCTAACATTTCAGAAGAAAGCGTTCCATCCCATTTAATCCAATTCCTGACAAGGAGCTGGACTCAAACCAGGACTTGGTCAGTCTGGGTGACAATTTTGGGAATTCTGGTATTGGAGTTCATTATTAGAGCCAGTCCTGTGACAGAGAACCTGAAAAAAGATGCCTCTCTCCCACTGGAAAGCAGAGTAGGCCCAGGCCAGGGAGATAACCAAGCCAAGGATGGGAATTTTTCAACAAAGTTTCAATGATGGGTAAAGAATTCACTAAGAGATCAGGTAACTATGTGACGTGTGGGAGCACGGGAGGAAGAATCTGATGGGTGACTCACTTCCCTTTGTGCCCGAAAGGGTAAAGTGAAGGCCAATGGCAAGACCAGACAATGGCAGGGAAATTCATACGCACAGAATGGTACCCACAGGTCACAGGCTCACAGGATTTATAGATGAAAGGGACCTCAAAGATCATCCAGACCAAGCTTTTCATTTACAGGTGACTTCATCTCTAGACGCCTCTTAACATATCCCTTCATTCTAGATCCCTTCTGACTCTAAATCTACGGCCCTACGACATACGCTTTAGAAGATCATATTTGGATATACAGATAATAAATTGAAGACCTGGGACTTGAACCCAGGTTCTTTGACTCCAAATATGCTGCCTACTACCCTCTCTCCTGAGAAATCATACTTTGTACCATGAATTACAGTTATATATGTAGTCAAATAGATTAAACTGGATTTATTTTGGTCCAGATAATGCACATAGCAATGATCCTGTCCCAATTCCCGGGTAAGATTCTGATAAAATGACTAAAAAGGTTGCCACCAGGGTTCAATGAGCTGTGCCTCCACCAAAGGAAGCCAGCAAGGTGCTTTGGAAAGAGCACGAGCTCCAGAGTTAGAGGACCGTCATTCACATACAGCTTCAGACACTTAATAGTTGTATGACTCTGGGCAAGTCACTTAACCTGTGTTTGCCTCAGGTTCCACAACTGTAAAATGGGGAAAATAAATAGCACCCATCTCCCAGGGGCATAGGAAGGATCATATGAGAGATGTTTAAAGCACCTGGCTGCTAGGTGGCGCCATAGTACATAGAACACTGGACCTGGGATCAGGAAGGCTTAAAAGTTCAAATCCCACCTTGGACACTTACCCTGGGCAAGTGGTGATTTAACCTCAGTCTGCTTGGTTTGTCTATCTGTGAAATGGAAATAATAATAGCTCCCACCTCCCAGGACTGTTGTGAGGATAAACATAAAGAGACAATATTTGTAAAAGTTGTTTGCAAACCTAAAAGTGCTATGTTAACATTAGCTATCATCATCATTGTTGTTATTGTTGTACTATCAGGAGATACGTGTAACTAGATGATCTCAAAATCCCCTTTGATTTCTACATCCATGATCCAAAGTTGAAAGGACATATATCCAGTGTATTCAAAGGAATAAACAAAACTGTCAAAGGTGAAAATGAAACATCCAATCTAGGGATTTAGGAATCACAGGGTTTTTAAATGGATGCAACATCACATACCAGACAGTCCAACCCCATCATTTTTACAAATAAGAAAATGGAAGCCAAGAGGGCTTAAATGATTGACCTAAGGTCACATCGCTAGTCAATGGCAGAGTCAGGACTAAAACACACTTTCCCTGACCAACACTATTTCCATCATGCTATGTTACATCAGGGTAACTGTAAGGATAAAATGGGAAAGGAGAAAGAAGGGTTAGCCAAAATAAGGAACATGTTAAAATGCTCAAGGTTAGCATTTCTTAATGAGCTGAAGAAAACAAAAAGAAATACTCTCCATCCTTGTGGTCCTACGGTTCCTCTAGTTACACAGTACTGGTATTTCTATTGCCACATTTTCTAGAGTCTAAAAAAAAGTCTGATGCTGCCTGCTTTCCAGAACACATGCTACTGCTGGTCCTTACCTCCAGGCATCACCAACCCTACATCCTGCACAGTCAGAACTGAGAGCTTTTCTTCGGAATCCACTCTGATGACACCAAAGGTGAGGCCATGCATAGAGAGAACTCCCCTGCCTGGGGGCTGGTTGCTGTCATCTGTTGGCCTGTAAGGACAAGTGCAAAAGTTGAACAGAAAGCTTCCTAATTCAGGGGGTCACAGAGAAGCCCCACCTGAACATTCACATTCCTGGCTAACACTTTCTACACAACTTGACAATTACTACTTTCATGACATTTTTGTTTGTTTCAAAGTAAGGTATACTATGGTACATGACAGGTGCTGGTTAAATTAACAGTGAGATTGGTCAGTCCTGCTTTTCCCAGTATGGAAGCAAAATGGAGAGTAACTTCTCCAAGGTCATGTGCTGTATCAGAGAACATAGAACAGGGATTCTGAACTTTGGTCTATGTGTCACAGACCTCTCTGGAAGTTGGCCCTTCTCAGCATAATATTTTTAAATACACAAAATAAAATGTATTGGATTACAAAAGAAGCCAAGGAGATTGAAATATAGTTATCAAAATTTTTTTTTAAAGTTCTTGGACCTCAGTTTAAAAACATTCAGTAGAGAGTAGAGTCTAAAATTCCTACCCTTCAGGCTCTTATTTGGATATATAAATTTTTCATTCAAAATTCAACAAAAATTAATTCTGTGCCCTCCTCTATTGCCACATCTCAACACACATACACATACACACACACACACACACAAGATATTTTCTTCATCTCTAGACAGGGAGACTTTTGTCTTGAACTACTTTTTCAAGATAGCACCAAAATTTCCTTGGCATTTAAATTTCTTCTAAAGGCAAGGCTTTATCCCTCATAAATTTTGGACACGTATGTGCATGTATATGTGGGGGGGGGGTAGGAAGCAGGTCAAAATTTGTGTAGACTACATATTTGTTCTACTCATTTTTTAAACATAAGCTTTGATTTAGTTTTGGGGGCTGAAAATTAAAACAGGCCTTTGATCAGTAAGAGAAAAAACAATATTGACTATAAAACTTTATAAGGAACATCTCTCTCCATAAAAAAAGGACACATAGGAAAGCAAAACACACATCTCACACACACACACACACACACACACACACACACACACACTCTCTCTCTCTCTCTCTCTCTCTCTCTCTCTCTCTCTCTCTCTCTCTCTCTCTCTCTCTCTCTCTCTCTCTCTCTCTCTCTCTCTCTTTCTCTCTCTCTCTCTCTCTCTCTCTCCAGGATATAGTAACCAATTAGGCAAAAGCAAGCCAACAGAAATATTCACATGACTTTCCTCTTAAGAAAGATGTAAATAACCCTCTTATGGAGGAGTTAGAAGGGAGAGAAGCCCAGTGATAATAGAGCTAGTATTGTTTAACAGTGCTCACAGGACGCTACTTAGTAAAGACAAACTCAGAGCAGTAGAAGAAGACATAAATGAAAAACATTATCAGACTGAAGAAGGTTGGAATAGTAACATCTGATGACTAACTCAGGGCTTACTTTGAAAAGTCTCTACTGCACAGTACCTGATTACATAGATGGTGGGCAGTAAAACAGCTAAGGTTTCAACACCAGTTTCACCTATGAAAGCATTGCCTGGAAAACTTGCTTATCTTAAATTCATCACTATTAGAGAGAGATTCCAATGCTTCCCAATGTATCCTTGAAATCTCATACTTTGTCTCTGCAAACATAATTGTTATTTATATTTATTTCATGGTGGGGAACATAAGATGACATTCTAGAGACCACAGACAGAAATTTGAAAGTTACATTCACCTGCCCCCACCTATCTTTCCTTCAAATACTAAAACACAGAAGAAGAGGAGATAATCAAAAACCAGAAAATTTGAATTGTCAGTCAACAAGTATTTACTGAGTGCTTGATATGAGCTAGGCACAGTGCTAAGTAATGGAGATACAAAGAAAAGCCAAAATAGCCCTGCCCTCAAGGAGTTTACATTCTAACATGAGAGAAAATGTACAAGTAAGTAGGCATATACCAAGATATATACAGTAAGTGTAAATGGAAGATTACCTGAGAGGGGAAGGCACTAGGAGCTGGGGAGACCAGGACAGGTTGTTTTTAAGGAAGACAAGCAATCCAAAAGGCTGAGGGGAGTAGGTAGGGCATTCCAGACATGGGGATAGCCAGGGGGAAAAGGCACAAAGATAGGAGATGGAACGTCCCATGTGAGGAACCCCAAGCAGGTCAAGATGACTGGATCAGAGCATGGTTGGAGAAGGGGTCAGAAGGGGCCAAGTGTGACTTAGGATTGATTTCTAGTCTAGAATCTTGGGACATCTGCCAAATATGGGAACTACCTAAGGGACTATTTATTAGACCTGCTGCTGTTCAATTTTAAACTGAATCTGAAGAAAAGTATAGCAACAAAACCTGATGATTTTTTGAAATTTTCTTGCAAAAACCTGTCTTCAGGAAATTTCAAGCAATAATTCATTAATTCAACTAGAATATCTTTATCTCTATTAGTGACCTTAAAGGCTGCTGAATTCATAAACAACATAATAAGGGAAAAACAACCCAGTAGAAACTCTTGGGGCTTCCCAAAAACATATTCTTTACATGCAATAATGTATCTTAATTGAAATCCTGCCTGTGACACATATAACATAGGTTACCCTGGGTAAATCATTTAACCTCTTAGTGCCACAGACAACTCTCTAAGGCTCTAAGCCATAGAACAGTTGCTGAGCTGCTGAGCTGAACTCTTGAAGGGAGTTTCCTCATCACATCAGCAGTGCAGAGATGCTGTGAATTATAGAGCATATTAATTTGAATTTATAGTAGCTATTACTTCTGGCATTCTATAAGCATGATTAGCTAAAGAACTTTCTACTACTTCTCATAGAATAGAGGTGGCATGACAGGTAAAGAGAGGGATACAAATGCTCCCTGTCATAGATGGGGACTGCCCAAAATAATTAATAATCAGTACTACAGATATATAGATCAACCTAAAACATGTTTATCGATAACCTTTTTTATATCAAAACTATTTCTGGAAATATATACATACAACCCCTGGAACTGAATCTTCCTTGGTAACAAAGAAAAATAGTCAAGCAAAAATGCTTGTTAGAGTGAATTAATCTGGAAAGGTATGCCACATTCCACCTTCCTACTGTGCCACCTCTAATGACAATGGAGCGTATCGTTCTAGTTCTCCATCCCTTCGGTATCTCTTCACACAGATCTTCCTACTTTTTTCTTAATAATTCATATTTTCCAATTCTCACTGTCTACTAATATTCTATTACATTTGTACAGTTTGCTTATTAATTCCCCAACCAATGAGCAACCCCTTTTGTCTTCATTTCTTTGTTGCCACAAAAAGGGCTGTTCTGAGTATGTTGGTCTATAATAGAATTTTGTTTCTGTCATTGACATCCTTTTTTTTTTTAAGGCAGTTGGGGTTAAGTGACTTGCCTGGGGTCACACAGCTAGTAAGTGTCTGGTCTGAGGCTGGATTTGAACTCAGGTCCTCCTGACTTCAGGGCTGGTGCTTTATTCACTGCGCCACCTAGCTGCCCCTGTCATTGACATCCTTGAGGGGGACAGTGCATATTCCCAGTAGTGGGGTCCCTGAGAGACTCACTTCTCAGCTCCCAAAGTATCAGCTTCAGAGTGAATGTGGTATTGAGAGACAACAACATGCATAAGCCAAGAGCTGCCATACTGAATTATCACAGTAGTTTCCTAGGACAGGAGAATAATAATAGCTAACTTTATATATCGCTTACTACGTGCCAGACACTGAGCTAAGTGCTTTTTTATCTCATTCCATGCTCACAAAAAGGTAGCTGCTGTTATTATTTTCATTTTATAGATGAGGAAACTGAGGCAAATAAGTGACTTGCCCAGGGTCACAAGGCTAATAAGTAGCTGATGGCAGATTTGAACTCAGGTCTTCCTGACTCCAGACTCGGCATCCTATCCACTACCCCAGCTAGATGCCCCTCACTCTGCTTTCTGTATTTAAAAATTTAACAGGCAGGCCTAACACAAAGCTACCTGCAGCCAAGGCTGAAGATGACACACAGCAGAGATGAACTCACAAAGACAGCAATTTTTTTTTCTTCTTCAGCCAGAGGAAAAGTTTATTAGTGGTAAAACATATAGGCCAGGTGACGCCCATAAGGACGAGTAGGCATGAGAGGTTCTCAGCCTTGTGGGCCTGAGATTCTCAGCATCTGAATGAGGGCCAAGGTAGATCTTAAATACTAAAGTAACTTTGGGTGGCCAGAAAGACAGCAATTTAAAGACAAATGGGAGGAGGAAATGTGTCTCTCTGGCCTCCATAATCTGGCTTTGTACAAGAATTCATTATAGCAAATGCTTTCAATCGAGGTCCATTTGCATCCCTCTCTTTACCTGTCAGGCCACCTCTGTTCTATGTGAAATAGTAGGAAGTTCTTTAGCTAGCCATGCTTGTATAACACCAGAAGTAATAGCTGCTATAAATTTCAATTAACATGCACTACAGGTTGCGACATCTCTCCACACTGCCAGTGTCAGGCAAACAGAGATTTGGCTGAGCCCAAATGTGCTTAAGAAAGAATAAACGGAAGGATGTAAATAACACGCAGTTATGATGAATGCATTTCCAGCATCTAATGGACTGACTGGGAATGACCTGGGGTCGCTTTAGTTACACTTTGTCATTCTCTGTACCCTTTGCAATGGAGGAAAACTAAAGGCCTTTCTTCGCTGCTTTATTTATTTTTGTCCTCTCCTCCAAAGGCCTGTATGTCCGTATCCCCAAATTCACTAATAAGAAAGGCTGTAACAGAACCCAGAGAGGGGCCTTTCGAGTCTCCTTCAAAAGTCAGCCCAAGTACTCTCTCCTGGGAGGACTTTTAATATTCTCCCAGGTGCTAAATACCTCTCCCTCTCAAAGCCTGCAAGGTATTTCTTGTGTATATAGTCTAGAAATACTTCTGTAGATACATATTGTCTTCCCCAACAGAGTAAGCTCCCTGAGGGCAGCGCCTGTCTCATTTTTGTCCTTGTATCCTCAATGTTGAGGACAGTGCCTGGTACATAGTAGGTGCCTAATAAATGTTTGTTGATTGACTGATATCTCTTACATGAGGTACAGAGAATGCCTACTCTGTATATGGAGAGTGGTGCATTCCCTCTCTTACACAGATGCAAAGTGGTAAGCATCAGGCATCTTTACTTGTCCTCCCTCCCTCCGGACAGTGCCTGCCTTCCAACACCATCACGTGGAAACATGGCATGCATCTTTCCATAGAAGTGATGTTTATAAATGGTGGTCAGGTATCGTTGAAATACTACTTAGCACAATAGGGATTGTATGGCTTGAATCAGCTTTTGTGGGCCAGCACAGGAACCTAATAATTATTTATAATTCTGTGGAAACCATGGTGGTTGCTGAGGGATTTTTTGTTTGTTTGTATTTTGTTACTTGTGTACATATCTGCACGATTTGCTGAATGTCCTCTAAAAACTATAAGGAAGTGAACCCGGGACAAATCATCACAATCATTTCATATTCAAGTGGTTCCTTAAGACTTACAAATTATGTAAGAAATGGATAGAGTTATCATACCCATTCTACAGATGGAGAAAATGAGGTCCAGAGAAGTTGTGATTAGTCAATGAATAGTAACATAATTAGATAGTGTCAGAAATGAGACTCAAAGCTAGCTATGTCTTCTTATTCCAAATTCAGTTCTCTTTCTGCTATGTCATGGTGCTGTAATCAGGGCAGCATCAATGAACTGCTTGAGAAGAATTTAGAAAGATCCCGGGCTTGTGCGGTTCAATGGAAAGATGGCTGGCACTGGCGTCAGAGAATCTGGGTTCCGGGAGATTACTAGGTACTTCTGGAGTGGGCCACAGGCAGCTGCATTTTCAAGTGGAACATCAGGCCATGTGTGGCAGCAAAAAGTCGAAGTGGTACAGTCCATGCTTAGTAAACATCAGGAACCCAGGTCCTCTGACCCCCGTGCCCAACCACCTTTCCACTGAACCACATTAGCCCTGTTATACACAGGGCACAAAAATCCATGACCAGTAAATATGAAAGAAAAAATTTCCTAAGGGAAAATGCATGGTAATTCCTAAACAAATGACTTCTACATTCCTGGAACATAACCCGTTCAAAAACTGTAGGCTCCTAAGCCCCAAGGCCGAGACTTGGTTTTCAGGCTAACAGCCTGACTCACAGAATAGACTTTTTTTTTTTATCAGATGGCTGCAAAGTCCTGTTTCATCTCATATCACCAATATGTATTCTCTTAGACTAAACAGTTAGTACCCAAATCAATGATCATTGAGGATACCGGTGTGACTGAATTTGAGTAAACAAATATATTACCTTCTTGAGTGTCCTTCCATTGCTTTCTCATTTCTCCTTGTAGATTATTCTAGATTGGTAATTAATATGATTGGATAGAAAGCTTATTTCTTTCCATAAAAATAGATTGGGTTTGCTTATTTGTTTTAATGGAAATAATAATACTTGAAAGGACAGGGAATTTCAATGGTATAGGGAATTCTCATATGAGGAAATTTACATCATATCAGGTCAGTGTGTTCCAAGCAATTTACAGTCTTAGAGGATTTCCTAGAGCACTGAATGGTCAAGTGGCTTGCCCAGCATCACACCATGAAAGGGAGGATTTCAACCCAAGACTTCTGGCTCTGAAACCAATTCTCTAACTTCTATACCAATACAACATGATGCTAATATATGATTTTCTAAGTAAATATGTGGCTTGCAAGGGTCAACCCCTTATGTATGGTTTAGTAGCCCCATTTCTATTTGAGTTTGAGACTGTTGCTCTGCACCATGCTGTGTTTATAATTTCCCTATAATCTACTCTTCTCAAATGACCAAAATCAGGAATTACCTAGTCTAAAATGCCAGTGTACCCTCTAAATAATAAATATCTAATCAGCTGGAGGCACACAAACATCAGTAGACACTACATCTCCCTGATGTAATTGTACTTTTCACTTTAAGCTGTGTTGTGTTAGTCTACATTTTGCATCCATTAACAATAAATTCCAAAAGTTAAGGCTGTAATTTCAAAGGTTAGGAAACAAAACAGGAGAATATACCCTGATAATCAGATGAATCATAAATTCTGATTTAATGCAATCTTAAAAACAAAATTTTTTGTGCAGTAAGTCAAAATGCTGTATCTATGGTGTCATACGTCTAAGCGTTTATGTATCTGCCCTTACTGAAATATTCCAAATTAAAAAGGTCTAGCTAAGCCCCTAGAATCTCTGGGAGTGAATGAATAAATGAAAAAAAGCATTTATTAAGTCTTACTGTCTACAAGCACTATGGGGGAAGAAAAGCCTTACCTCCATGCTTTCTTTCTTAAGGAATTTATGTATCATAACTGTTGGGATAGTGCTATGCACCCAGGGGGCATTTAATCTATGCTCATGGAATTGAATGTGTTTACTGAATTGGCTCAAGGAAAAGTGGTTCTTGGCAATGGGTAGGAAGGCAGCAGCTCTAGCCAACAGCCCTGAGAAGCACTTTCACACAAGCTGGAGCTGTTTTTGGCCAGCACAGATGAGATAAGACAAGGAGGGCCTCCACTCCTGGTGTATGACAGCTGGTCCACATAACCTTGTGTTCACAGAGCCACCCAGTATTTGGCTAGAAAGCTTCAGGTGTAATGAAGCATCTGAATGACAAGACCCTGGGGAAGTGAGGAAGCTAAAGATGACCTGGAAAAACCTGGGGTCCAGACAAGTATATAGGGAGATGAGCAGGAGAGTCATCACAAAGAGGGCCAGAAGGGACCCTCTCAGAGGCTAAGTAGGAGTGATCCTAATTATTGCTATTTCTATGTGAAGTATGGAACTAGACTGGCTCCTCTACAAATTCACATGAGCTAATCTCAACCCAGTCCTCACTACAAGAAGGCCACACTTCTCCTTCTTCTCTTCCTTAATTGATCCCCCATCCCATTTCCCATAGCAGCTACTGCAATCTTTTTCTTCATTAAAGCCCCCAATGGCACTCCTAAGCCCACCCTCCCTGCTGGAGACTGCCTCACTCATTACGAACTTAGAATAGCTGCTCAGTGCTCCTCATTCTCCCTTCCTGTTTGTTTCACCCTCTCCTGATGTCACCTTCCGCTGTATTTAGCTTTACTTTCATAATTGATGATGAGGTAGTCGTTCTACTTGCCAAGGTCAACCCCTGTACATCTACTCTCGATCCTATTCTCTCCCACCCATCTTCTCTAGCAGATTGTCCCACCATCATTTCCACTCTTTTTCTACTCTTTCATTTCTTCCTATCTTCGGGTTACTTCAATGCTGTCTACAAATGTGACTAAGTTTCTCCCATCCTTAAAAAAATCTTCATTATAGCATGCCAAGCAGCTATCATCCTCCATCTCTCCTACCCATTTGAGCTAAACTCTTGAAAATCTGTCTACAATTGCTGCCTCCACTACCTCTCTTCTCACTTTCTTCTCAACCCTCTGTATCCTATCCTTTAATCTCACCGTTCAATAGAAAATTCCCTCTTCAACATTACCAATAATTTCTTCAATGAACTCAAATCTAATTGCCTCTTCTTGACCTTCATCCTTCTTCATCCTTCTACAGTTTCTGCACGCCTTCACATCATTGACCACCTTCTTCTTGATACTTTCTCTTCTCTGGGTTTTCTTCATTCTTCTCTCTCTCCCCCTCCCTCTTTTCCTCTCTCCCCTCCTATCTATCTGATTGCTTCTTCTCGGTCTCCTGCACTGTCACTCACTGATGGCAGGTATCCCCAAAGACTCTGTTCTGGGTCCTCTTCTCTTTTTCTTTTTATAATCTCTCACTTAGTGATCTTATCCCATGGACTCAATTATCTCTAAGCAAATGATTCCCATATCTATTGGGTGCTGTCCCAGCCCTTGTCTCTCCTGAGCCCTTGAAAGTTATATTATTTTGTGTCTCATAAAATAGAACAAAGAAGAAATTGAAGTTCAGAAAGGCTAAGTGGATTTGAATCCACATGACCAAAGAAAGCACTTTCTTCCCATTTCCTTCTAGTCCTTTATTATATCCACCATGCAGATGTCTAAGTTAGAAAGTTTTAAACAGGAAAAGTGGCTTGAGATGACAGGTAAGTTTTTACTTATTCTCCCAATTTGCTGTTTTAATTGCTATTTTGCATAACTGTTATTCTTTTATTGCTAATAGCAAGCCGTTTATTTAAATAGCTTCCTTCTGTTAAAAAGCCCAAAGGGCTTTTCAAATATCCCTTTAATCAACATTCTCTATATATCTGTAAGTTCAGTAACATCACCTGAGTTTTACAGATGGAGACTGCGCCAGAAGCTGGGTAACTCATCTGAGGACACTGCAGTGCCTAGTAATCTTTTGATTTATATTTGGCAATTGTACTGCCTGAGAGGCAGTGCTATTGAGCATGCAGAGAAGCCTCTGAAACCATAATTTCTCTTAAGTACTTTTCTCTACTTTTTGTGAGGCCTAATTTGACCAGTTAAGTATTCCATGGCAGTACAGACTGAACCATGAAAAAAATACTCCATTTTGCCAGCAGCAGGTTTATGTGTTTGGGATGAGGGGAGTCTTTTTTTTTCCTCTCCTGTTCATTATAGGGTTCTTTTTGACCCTGGTCTCTGCTTCTCAGAAACTAAGCTTGCCCACAATGATTTTCCCGTCACCAAGTTACTCCTCTTTTTTTTTTCCTAGAAAGAAGGATCAGAAAATGTATATTGTTTCAAGAGAAAACAAAAGTGACTGAAAATATCAGTGGATATCAATTCAGAAATGTTTCCATGTCCTATTCATTTACACAGAGTTCTTCAGTAACATTTGGGTCAAGAAAAACAAGAGAGGAAGCCGGACTCAGTGGAGAGAAGACGACCTGATTTCCAGTCCAGACATTGATACATTCAAGCTGCGTGTACAGGAGCAAATCACTCAATCTCTCAGTGTCCTCAGAAAGACAAACAAGCATTTATTAGGGCACTTAATATGTTCTAGATCAGAAAAGTTAAACTCCCTGCAAAATACCCAAGTGCAGGCCAGAATGACATCAAAATGTAATTGGGAAATGTTTAACAAAATAAATAAAATATAGCACAACTCAGGCAATGTTTATCTGTAGTTTTCTAAGTCAAAGTTGTGGCCAGAAGTGATTTATTTCTATTTGAGTTTAACACGACTGTTCTAACATTGTGCTAAGTGCTGAAGATACAAAGAAATAGGAAAAAACAGTTTCTGTCCTCAAGGAGCTTACATTTTAACAAGAGAAGACCACATATATAAATCAGAACATATAAGACAATACAGAGATGACAGAAGGTAACCTTAAAGGGGATGGTACAATGCTCTAAGCACATAACTGTCGGACAAATCATTGATCTGCATTGAATAGAGAAAGTTTCCATAACAAGAATACCCCACACAGATGAAATCAATGATGTTTGTTCTCTCTCTCTCTTTCTCTCTCTCCCTCAATAAAGGAAAAATAAACACCAAGAAAGCAGCCTCACCACTTCCACCAAGTCACTTAATGAATGCTAATTCTCCACCTGATTATGAGGACACAGTCATTTGCCCCTAACACAATATGCCATGTGGATTGCCAGTGGTAGCAGAGGGTACACCAAATTGCCTGACAATTCCAGTCCCAGCACCCTTTTTAACAAGAGATAAAAAGCAATTAACCTCATCTAAGGAACTTGCCTTTGACAGAGGCATATACATAACTCATTGGTCAAATGTATTTGATTTTCTTTATAGAGATTGTGTGTCTCATTTGCTTTTTAACAAATCAATAAAATGTGAGTTGCAATGCCTCCAGCAGAATTGGACTCAACATGCAACAGCTGAGTCTGCTCCAAGTGCTGAAATGTGCAGCCAGAGTGACAATGATTAACCTTTTCCTACTCGCCCTTTAAAACATAATCGTTTTAATAGAGTGGGTGAAAGCTAGTTTTACTTAATAGCGTAGCCTCTGACCTCATATATTCAGGCTTCACTTCAAGTCTTTAATATTATATTCAGTGAATGGAGAAAAACAAGCTCTTAGTTCAAAAGTACAGTGTGACTTGAATACGCATTTGTGGTTTTAAAAGTTAAATATTCTAAAGTGAATTTAAGTTATACTCCATAGAATGCAAACTCATTGAGGACATGGACTGTTTTACTTAGCCTTTGAGATCCAGTACCTTGCCCACTTAATAAACAATAAATTTATTGAAGGGAACTGAATGGTAACTATAAAAATAACTCACATTTATATAATGTAGTAAGGTTACAAAGTATTTTCCTTACCATAAACCCCTTGAGTTAGCTAGGGCTTTATCTCTATTTAATATTTTAGAGATGAGGCAACAGGTTCAGAGAAGTTTAGCATAAGGACCATTGAGATGCTCTAGTCCAATCCTTCTCTAATAGATGAGTGAACTGAGGCCCAGAGGCAACATGACTCACCCAAGGTCACATAGTAAGCAGTAAATTCAATGGATTTGACTCCAGTAAAAATCAGTTGCTTCTTTCCATTAACCATATTGTTTCTATATGACAATAATGGTTCATGATGAGCCAGTTATGGAGAATGTAATTGAATTTGTTTCCCAATTTGTATGTTTCCTGACTTCTACCTGAGCCTGGAGACAAAATGAAATTGGGAGGTGGCAGAAGTTTTGTTCTAATCTTATGGAATTTTAGGATTTGGAACGCACTTTAGAGGTCATCTAACCTATCTTGATAGAGAAAGCCAGAGTAAGATGATTTAAAAAATGTGAGAGATTAGAAAAGAAGGTTTTGGAAGAAAAGAATGAAGCAAAGAAGGGAGAAGGGAAGGAGGTAAAGAAAGAAAGGAAGGGAAGAAAAAAGGAAGAATTTATCAAGTATTTATTATATGCTAGGCATTGCTCAGCACTTTATAAGTATTATCTAATTTGATCTTCACAACAACCTTGGGAAGTAGTGCTATTATTGTCCCCATTTTACAGTTGAGGATCCCGAGGCAAGCAGAGGTTAAGTGACTTGCCCAGGGACACAGAGCTAGTAAATGTCTGAGGCCAGATTTGAATTCAGATCTTCCTGAGTCCAGGCCCAGTGCTTCATCGACTGCACCTAGCTGCCTCAGGAAAAAAGCCTTTTTCATTACTAACAAGATTTCCAATCTAAATAAAGAGACTATGGCTATTCAAATCTACTACTGGAAAGTGTGCCAAATTATACCAAAGGGAGATCTCAATACAATGGGAAAGTCTAAATTGTACATCCAGTTACAAAAAAGCATTCACCATTCACCACAACCTCTGCCCACCAAGGATTAGCAAAATACATGTTTAAAGAAATTAACGAATCAAAAAAAAATTGGTCCTTTTTGACATGGCTTTATCAAAACCCAGGTGAATCAATTCACTCAAGTACTATCTTTAACAGCTAACATTAAGCTGTCAGTCTTGATTTTATTTAGCACCTTGAAATCTATACCTTTCATGTCATTTGTAAACAGTCTCTTTAGTTTCTTCTTCATTTTTTGCCCCTTGCCAATATTTATCAGATAAATAAAATGCCATCCTAGAATCATATGATCACAGATTTGAGCTTAGCAGGATTTTAAAGACAACTAGTCCAGCTCATAGTTCAAGTAGGTGTTAAGAATCAGATCTCTGAACCCAGGCCTACCTAACTCCAAGTCCAGCACTTTAGCTATTAAGCTAGCCCATTTCTGTCATACCCTTCAAGAAGCTGTTCACAGAGAGCACAACACAGCAGTAGGCAAAAAGGGTGTCAGAAGAGGTATAAAAGCAGGTTACACATACTCCTGCCCTTGGGAAGTCTGATTAAAAGTCCTTCACACAAATTGCTATGACTTTTCTTGCCTTCCCAATGGATGGAAGAGGGATGGGAATGAGGGAGAAAATTCAGAACTCAACATTTTTCAAAAGGAATGTTAAAAATAAATATGTAAAACATGTAACTATTTTTTAAAAATAAAACAGAGATTATAAGCCCCACCCCACCCCCAAGACATCCTTTGGACAATTCTAATGTTCAATTTTACGTCCCATTGGGGGTAGGAATAGCTCTTCCACCCAACCCACAAATTTCATTCCCTGCTCTGTGGATCAGTTGGGTTGGAAAAATCTTAAGCTTCTCACGCCATGAGCCTACTCCTGAGATGTCATTTGGTCTTAAAAGTTTTGCTCTCTGTTTGGATCAATGATGATGGAAGTGATCCAAAAACTGGGCTCCTTCCAAATTGACTGCCCAAGTGATTGTCTCCTTGATGCTAAGCCTGAATACCAGCAAGCACTGCTATACATATACATATATATACACACACACACATATATGTATGTATGTATGTATATGTACATATGTATATATATATATATATATATATATATATACACATACACACACACACACACACACACACACATATATTCCAGCAAAGTCCTGTTGCTCCAGTCATCATTATAATCATCATCCACCATTGGAAGAGGTTTGGTGATCCAATCTTTTCTAAGCACAGTCCCACAGAGATGATCCTATCTACCCCTAACCTCAACTTGGAAGAGAAGTAGAAGGTGTAGTGGTAATGAGATTAATTTCCACGTGAGATTTGTGGAAATCAGTTTCATGACTTTGCTGTCACAGCTAATATTCAGCTATGGGGATCTACAACTGGAAAGCTTTCTCTTGTGGCTATTGAGCATTCCCCTAGCTACCACTCCCCCAGGCTCTCCTCTTTTGTTTCAGTTTCTAAGGAAGAGGCAGGCTTTCTCCTTGCCAGAGCCGACCCCTCTACTTATACCCTTGGTTCCCATCTCCTCCAGTAGCTTGCACCTTTGATCATCACTTTCTCTTTAATCTTCAATCTTTCTTTATCCACAAACTTTACTCTGATGTCTACAAACAAGCCCAGTGCTCCTCTACCCTATAAAACAAAACACAACAAAAAAAACCCTTCACTTGACCCTATCACCTCCTCAATTATTTATATGTGCTTGTGTTTTTACCTACACATTTACACTCACATTCCCATGTCTCTTCCCTTTCACATTAGTCTAGAAAGCCCATCTATACTCATCGTCTTCAACTTCTCATCTCGCTCTCACTTCCCAGCCATTTGTAATCAGACCTCAATCTCAATCAAATCAATCAGTTGGCATTCATTAAGCACATATGATTTGCTAAGTGCTAGAGATACAATGAAAGATAAAAACAGTTGCTGATCTCAAGGAGCTTATATTTTAAGGGGGACACTATACAGACACACATAGGATGCATTCAAGAAGGTGACTTTAGACCAGAAAGCTCTAGCACTTGGGAGGGACTGGGACAGGCCAGCAGAAGAGGGCAACTGGGCTGTCTTGAAGGAAGCCTGGGATTCGAAGAGATAGAGGTGAGGAAAGAGAGAAAAAAAGGCATGAAGAGGAGTCTTGCAAATGCAAGGAGATGGGAAATGAACTGTTGTGTGCCAGGAGCACCAGACAGGCCACCATGACCGGATCATAGAACGCAGGCAGGAGAGTGAAGTGTAAAAGGCTAGAAGGGGCCAGGTGTGGAACACTTTAAATGCCAAACAGAAATGGCTCTCCAAGGTCACCAATGATCTCTTTATTGCTAAATTCGCATTTTTTTTTCATCTCAGTCCCTATCTTTCTGGACGTCTCTCCATAGTATGTCATCTCATAGATCTCTGTCCTTGTTTGGCCACTTCCCAGTTTCTTTTGCTGGATCATTATCCATGCTCCACCTCCTTTTCATAGGTAGAGTTCTACCTTGGGCCCTCTTCTCCTTCTCTCTTCTTTCTTTTTGTGAGCTCATCAGTTTCTATGGGTTCAATTAACATCTCCAGGCAGATGACTCCCAAATCTAAAGATTCAGCTCTCAGCAGATAAGATCCCTAAACTAGGCGTAGGGACACATTACCAACTGTCTACCAAACATCTCCCCTGAGACGTCCTATAAACAAATGTTTTAGAGTAGAGATGAACAAAATAGAACTCATCATCTTTGTCCCCAGAGATCTTTGTAACTTTCCTGTTTGTGTAAAGGGGAATTACCTTCCTTCTTGTCATCC